GCTGCAAATCTGGTCCTTCTTTCTCTATCGATATTGTTGGGATTATTTGTTAATTTACAACTCGACTGATCATTTTTTATTGACTTGGAATTTGAACTTTCTTGTCATGTGATTTATTCTCCATTAGTTGGTAAAATTGGTCTATAGTAGTTAGTAATGTTTTTGTTAATTGTTGGTTGATTCATTTGAGCACTAGGCTTCTAGGTTTGGACATATAAACATTACTGCTACGGAGACTTCAAGGCTTTAGCCTGAAGCAATATGTTCAACTGGGAACGTGAAGTGATAAATGATTATTGGAAACCAGCATTGAATGAGATGGATTAGAAACGCAGAGAAAGCCTGATAAGTGTTAAAAGGCATGAAACGTAGATGGATTGTTCTGATGTCAATGACTTCTCATCTGAGGTGTTAACTAATGGTCTTAAACTAAATTCATAATAATATCATACTGTTCATTTTAGTTTCAGGCGCAAGCAAGACATTGAGTGAACTGATTCATTCCCAAGGTTTTTGTAGTATCAGTGGCACTGTGGTAGGGGGTAAATCCTATCATTGCATGAGGTTTTCTTCAAATCTCTTTTAGTCGTTTCGTATCCCGCTATTTTCTAAGAAAATCTTTCTTTGAACATATTACATAATGAAGTTGAGACTTTCTCCAAGCAAAAATAAATCTCTTTCCTTACAATTTATTAATTCATATATTCTGTCCATTCTTATTTATTGTTCACCCTTATTCTTCCCAGGACTTCTCAAAAAAGACTATGTCATATAACTATAGAACACTGAAGACTGTAAAAAAGGCTTAGTGGTTTGTCTATGATTCAACTAACTGCAATCAATTGGCTAAAGGTATCCTGTCTGGTACTGAACATCCTCTTTATGGGTAACTTTTTCCTTGTATCTCTTCGATGGTATAACGACCACTAAGTATGAAAATTCTGCCATACCATATTTGGCTAGTTGGAGGATTTCACCATGAGCTGACATCAGTTAGAGAACCATTGGAAAACCAAATGGGAGTACTGCACATCCAGCTGTTTCGTCCTGGTGCTTGGGACTCTTCATCAGTACGCACACACCACCAGGATTTAAACCCAGAAACTTCTGGTTACAAGTCTCGTAGAGCTCGTAGACCATTCAGCAGCCTCCAGGACCCGATCCAGTGACCAGCCCATCAATTCTAATTACTGCTAATTCATAACATCACGAGACTACTTCACAATGTCTTTTTCGATGAGTTACTGCCTCACCTCCAAGTTAGCTATTCTGTCTCTTTTATCTGGAGTACGGAGGTCAGAAAAGGTAGACTCCGAAAATTGCACATTTCCACTTGCTCTGTTGTGGTTTGTAAGTGACAGTAAGCTTTTCACACGGACATAACTCCAATGAAACCATTTCTGGTAGGCCATACCATATTTGTGATCAGATTCAAGCAGCTATCCTCTAGGATCTCAATTCTATCAGCACCAATTCTGTTTTTCTTTAAGGTATTTCGAAAAGAAATCACTTTTCATGGTGTGAACAGTGGTGAAACGGTTAAACCTTGATAGACTTCCTTGTATGTATGTAGGATAGGATTACAGAGCTATCGTGACTTATCCCTCGTCATTAACACTGATTACTATTGGTCGTCTTCTTAAATTTTATGTTTAATTATCAGAAGTAGCTAGTGATGAAGAGAATACGGAAACTTGTAAAATGGATGTAATTTCCTCATCTCTTTATTTTAACCTTCAAATAAATGATGTTATTAGATTTACAGAATAAAAGAATTAAGTGGAAGGGGGAAGTTGGAAAGAATAGGATTATGTAGGTCAAACTACCTAGACCCTTCTAAGTAATCCATCTTTTATTGTCCTGATGTTATTTCCTGGATTACTAAAACAATAACAGGGTATTTGTTTTGACATAACTTGCTTTTAATTACTAGTTGGGTGGGGGTCGTTATCCGGAAGAGATGATTATTATTCTTGTTATTATTTCAGAGTTAATGATACTCCTCAACTATCCTTGACTAAAGTGAGCCTGCCTGTTTTCAACATAGAACTACCTTGCACAGATGTGAAGCAGTTTGAGACGCACACTCCCTCCATGTAGCACATAAAGCAAGGAAAGAAAGTAAAAAGGAAAGCGAAATAGAGACAGTAAACAGAGGTGTGTGACAAAGGAATAGTAATAACGAAAAACAATATAGTTTTATTGGGAATTATAAGTCAAAGGGAATGAATGCATCTGTGCTAGTCATTGAGAACGGGGATTTTGAGCCATATCACCGATAATTGTCTCCAGCCATTACTGTTAACCGTCCCCAGGACCCCAACTAGTCAGCAAGGCAGTCTACACCTGCCTAAGTGGCTGGTTTAAACTAATTGTTGTGGATTTCGCTGACTAACGAGGCCATGTTTTCGTTTGGCCACTACTGGCTTTTTTCAAACCTGATGCATCCTATGTCAGCTAACATTTCCTGTCGAGGAAGGCGATAGCTAGGCAGGCATGCGTAACACATGTCCTAATCATCTCAGTCGATACGGCTGCTTCACAACCTCGCCTATTGATTTTCTATCGCTCCTTACCTACCACTTGACCGAAGCCTAACATCAATATTGGTTACCCTATTTTACCGCTTCACACGGAAGATAGAACGTAGACACTTATGATCGAAGACAGCCAGTCAAGAGTTTCATGTCTTTCACTTCCAATGGCCATGTCTCTCTCACAGTCATAAATGAGGACGGAGGTGACTACTGAGCAGTACACACGTCTTTTGGCCGATACCCTTATTATCACGTCTACTAATCCAGAGACGTCGTAAACTGGCATATTCGAAACTAGCCCTCTGTATGCATGCCAAGATTTCGTAAGCGATCGACCCGTTGTGGCGGATGCGACTTTCCAAATAAGGGAAGTGGTGAGCACGCCCCACAAACCACTTAACTCCTTATTTCTAAGCTAGGATTCAACGAAGTACCATCATCTGTCATTTGGCGGGAGCGAATCGCACACCAAACACTCGCAGATTGCAACTCAAGGTTTTCAGAAGACTCTGCATTTCGTCAGCGTCTTCACCTTGGAAAAAGGACTATATCATCTACATATTTTAAGCCAATGACATTATTCCCTGGAAGCAAGTCAATCCCTGAAGTCACTGTAGTTAGAGTTAAGTGCATCAGTACATCTATGATGAAATTAGACAGAAATGGTAACAGTGGGCATCCCTAACGGACACCACTAGTTGTAACCGCTTCAGATGACAACTCGCTGTAAGCTGCCAACTGGCTGACTGTATGAGTTCGAGTAGAGTCCCTTAATCAGTGCAATGTATTTTCTCGGCATTCCGTCTACAGCCAAGCAGCGCCATAGTACCTGTCAGTCGACAGAATCGAACGCTACCTTTAGGTCTGGAAATATAATGATTGTTAGGCGCAGGTATGAATGCCTACGTTCTAGAATCTGTCGAAGAGTGAAGATATAATCAATTAACCCTCTTTCTGCCTTCCTGGTTCTCTTGTGTTTATGCCTCTCGAGCACCGCTTAGTCTACGCATTATTACTGGGCCTACAACTTAAGATACTATATTAGTCAAGCTAATCCCCCTGTTAGTAAGTAAGTAGGTGGATGGGTGATAGGTGGAGCGGAAGGGTTGTGAATCTTAGCCTCACACAGACTAGCTGCAAGGGAAATGTTGTCAGTGCAATTCGCCACATCGCCACACATAAATTACATAAATTAGTTGTGTGATGTAACACTGAACTCTGTTTTCTTTCAATGGAAGTAAGAAACGCTTGATGTGAATGCTCTAGGAAGAAACCACTTGAAATAATAGTCAGATAGTGCAAGGTGCGTACACACTAGTTAATCTGATTACTGAAGCATATCTTGGACTATAAGAATAATTTTTTATAATCGAATTTTTATGAGTTGATCATCGATTGATATCAGTTAGAGAACCATTGAAAACCATCAGGGAGTACTGGACAGCAGTTTCATTTTAGTTTGAGAATCACTGGCAGTACGCACCCACCACAGGAGGTTCGGTCCCAGGACATTCCGGTTACAATCAAACCGTAATCAACTCGTGAAAACAAAAAACTAACCTTTACAAACCAAACTACAGAAAATAATCGAATTTATCCATTACAACTATACCTGATTCCCTAACAGGTTTCAGGATAATTATATCAGATTGACGATATAATTCCTTTAGGGCTTAGAAATGGCTCGAGATCAAACTGTCTTTTTGTCTCCAAATTGAACTACGGAATTTGTGTGATACATCTACAAATTTAGCTTTCAACTAACCAGGTTTGGTCATCTGTCAAAATAGGAACTAAAGGATTCACTTGGTCACACAGATTATTCTTAAACTGGGAATCGACTGCTAAGTTTGAGATATTGTTTAGTGGGATACTGATTAATTTTCGTAGCTCTTCAGTTTATAAATAAATTAATTAATGAATTTTTTAATTCTATTCCTTCACGTTCCCAGTGAAAGGTAAGGCCTCAAGCTAGAGCACTGAAGTTTCGGTAGCAGTAGTGTTTATTTTTACGGGATGGAGTTACTTGCCTCATTCTTAACCTTCCCTTTTACCAGTTTTGGTACTGTTTTAGTGAGGTAAAGGGGTGGGTCGGTCGGGGGTCGAAACCCGAACCACATGGGGCATGGTTGGCGAGCATTCTACCGCACCTGAAACTTGAAAAAAACAACTGAAAAACTGAAACATTCGTCCCAGCCTCTGTGATTCTCCAGGCCATCGCGACATTCAAGGACAAGCATCATATCAATGTGATAGCTATCTGTTAGAGGTAAAGCGTAGGCTGGAGCTTAGATCTATTGCATGTGGCTAGTGAGCGCTGACTTCTGACCTTATCAACATATCTCTTGTACACTGAAACAATATAAGAACGCTTAGTCGACGAAGAATTGAGTAATATGCACATGCATATATACATGTACATCATATTTCACCTTATTTTCATTTCATTTTTCTGCTATTTAGTAAACGTTGGCATGGTAGCATACCTGTACTTACGCATCAACTTAACCCTATTATTGTTCAATTTTTGGGAGGAAGTTTAAATTCAAAAATTAAAGATATTCTACACAATTTATTAATTCGTGAATTAGAAGTATGCAGGTAGGTAATTATTTTTATTTACTTATTTATTTATTTAAAATAATTTTGTTTTGTTTTAATTTGTTTATTTTCCTTTTAAAGTTCTAAGTTGTTCTGAGGATGTTCTACTGACGAGGAGAAAAAGATTTGTAAATTTGTGATAACATGTTTATTGCGCAGCAGTACGCTATGTCATTCTTTACAGGTGTGTTGTAAACTGGGCCCTCTGAAAGTAGAAGATATGAATGGACCAGTCGTCTTTGATCATTAGTGTGTTTAAGCTGTATCTCCTGTGTTGCATGGTGACTGACTGACTGACTGTTTTCAACATAGAAATACTTCGCACAGGTGTGAAGCAGTTCGAGTCGCTACACTCTCTCCATGTAGCACACAAAGCAAAAGAAGGAAGTAAAAAGAAATGCAAAACAGAGACAGTAAACAGAGATATGAAGCAAAAAGAATAGTAATATCGAAGAAAAATACATAGTTTTACTGGGTATTATAAGTCACAAGGAGTGGATGCATCTGAACGAGCCATTGAGAACGAGGATTTTGAGTCATATCATCGATATTTGTCTCCAGTCTTCATTGGTGTTTACTGTCCCTAGGACCACAACTAGTCAGAAAGTTTACACATTCCTAAGTGGCTGGCTCAAACTAACTGTTGTGAATTTCATTGACTGATGAAGCCATGTTTTGCTTTGACGACCACTGGCTCTTTTCCAACTTGACCCTATGTCAGCTAACATTGCCCGTCGAGGAAGGCGATGCGTGGCTAGGCGGGCATACGTAACACATGTCCTAACCATCTCAGTCGATGTAGCTTCACAGCCGGTTACAAGGCAAGCTAAGCTCGTATATCATTCAACCACACTGGGACCCGATTCAATGGCTGACCCATGAATTCTAACTCTTACCAATTCGTGATGCATTTAGCGCGACCACCAACCAATGTCACCGTCGGAAAATTCATCCTTACACTTGACTGGATGTACCTTGCACGACTCTAGGGACATCTACTGTAACTTATCCTTCAATTAGCGAAACATTATAAAATTTCGATATCGTACATATTCATGTTAAGTAATGAATGAGTTTTTTTTCTTATAAATCTGTTATTTTGCAGGCGTATTCATCATCCAAATATCATGAGTTTACTGGCTATCATTTACGATGATGCTATTCAAACTGAATCACATGATCAACTGATCAATCCCAGTAGTTTAGTACTGACGTATGAGCTGCCTTCACTTGGTAATTTGCAAGAATATATACAAGTAAAAGTAAGTTACACGTTGTAACATTGTATGTAATATGATGCATACTACTGATTTTCTATCAGTGAGTAGTTGGTTGGAAATATTCAGCTTGATCAGGTTGATCTGAAAACTGGTCAGCGCCGAGCTTATTAGGCAGGTACCCAAATTAACTTGGTTAAGGTTTATTACTCCCTTGGGTTCCAAGTAGAACATAAGGATTTCACAGAACATCTCTACTTCATCCAGTTCTCTGAAGTCTCTGTCACTTGGCTCCAATATTACTCATGAGCTTTGATTTCCTCATTAAACACAATTTTTACCATGTCGCCCTCGAACATATGCCAAACTCTTCGTTAATTTAGTGTTGGTTTGTAGGGATTCGATTGGTTACAGGACCTCATTATGAGCTGACATCGGTTAGAGAACCATTGGAAAAGCTGGGAGTCTAGGACAGCTGTTTCGTCATAGTTCGGGACTCTTCATCAGTTCGCACCCAAGCAGGGTTTGGATCCAGGACCTTCTGGTTATAAGGCAAATTCGCGGAGCATTAAGCCGCTGGGACGTGATCCAATGGGCCATGAATTCTAACTTTTGCCAATTTACGACAAGGTGCGACCCCTAGCCAATGTCTTCGGCCAGTATTTGTCCTCAAACCCGACCTGGGTTCGATCCCCAGTGGGTGCGTACCGCTGAAGAGTCTCAAACTAGGACGAAACATCTGTCCAGTACTCCCAGTTGGTTTTCCAATGGTGCTCTAACTAATGTCAGCTCATGATGAAGTCCTGAAACTGTTCGTTCTTCTCATTCGCATTCCCTTGTCAAGGCATTATCTGGTGTGCAACGTCACTCAGTGGTTTTTCTAAAGAGAAAAATAGCCGAGCTAAAGGAGGGCATAATTATTATTTCAAACCAACTAATTTTTGACTAGGTGCATCAGGCAACTGATAGTACATAGAACCCAGAAACCTTTCTTGACTTCTTACCAAAGCTTTACAGTCGCATAGCGTTTTCGACGGATCGTCGGAACACAGAAAGGATGCTGTGAGGAAGATAACCAACCAATATACCGCCTAACAACAAAAACCACCACCAATCACCATCACAGGGGAGAAATTTGCAAGTGATCACTCGCTTCACTGATCTACGAAGCGTCATTTCAACTACAGGTAACAGCACGGATGAAACAGAGAGGCAAGATACACCTTCACTACTCTGAAATAATTTTGCAAATCTTCTGCACTCCACGTGAGCATAAAGAGCAAGATTCTGATTTTGGGGATTAATGTTAAGTCAGTCAGTTCTTCTATATGGATCAGAAAAATGGCTATAGCATCAAATAAAACAATTTCCCGTTGATGATCGCTGGTGCTGATTGTTTTATTTGTTGGCTGGTTAGTTGGTTATCTTCACCTCTCGTGACGCTCGCTGCTCGCTGGTGTTCCTTAAGGTGCTGTATTCTTCACACTTCTCTTTTCTTTCTTTCTTCCTACATGAATTACCATCTTCAAATGACACTAATTTTGTTAAATATGCTAACAATCTGACTGTATCTTTGCCTGTCAAATGTCAAAGTGACTGCTCCAAACTAAATGGCTTTTTATCAGAAATCAGCCAGTGGTCCAGGGAAGAAGGTCTTACCTTAAATCTCTCTAAATGTCAAACAGTCAATCAATTTCACCTTTAGGTATAAATCTGACCTAAACAAACTGGTTACCACTCATGAGGTGTGCAACATAGATGGCACTGAAACACAGACCAAGTAGGAAATTAAATAACTTGGCGTCATTCTATCTGCTGATCTTTCCTGGTCGTCTCATATCTTGATGATTTCTAAGAAAATATTCCGTCTTACCTTCTACATCAAGAAGTGAAGATATTCTGGAATAACCTAACCCAACGCTTGCTTTTACGATTTGTTAACTCTCTCATTCTGCCTATTATTCTCTATTGTTCCCTCTTAGTTTTTCCAGGGCTAGTGAAGAGAGACTATATCTTATTACGTAGGGCGTTAAAGGTTGTCAGTATGGTGAGCGGCGTGCCACTTAACCAGCTTGTTAATATTCTAGTTGACAGGCACATGGACTCATGTGAAAAATGGGCTAAATCCATTCTGTCTAACTCACACCGCCCTCTTCATTCACACTCTTCCCTTGTATCTATCTCATTAGGCAAAACCAGAAGCCTATATAGAAAACTATATGCTGGCACTAGAAAGTACAAAAACTCAACCATACCCTACCTGGCTCGTTCGTGTTCTGTACGATAAAGAAAGCACTAGGCGTGAAACTTATGACTTATTAAATAGTCAGTAGATTGACTGGATCTCGTCTTTCCAACTCAGATCATTTATAGGTACAGCGTTTTCTTTCTCTCTTTTCCTTTTCTCTGTTTTTTCTCTGTTATGTGCTGCTTTGTTTCTCTCTTCCTTACAAACTCTACTTCAAGTATTCTTCTTCGTTCTTTCATACTCTGTATATCTCGACCTTTTTGTTACCGCTTACGCGAGTAAATATGCTAGTATCTACTTTTCTAACACCTTCAAACACTGTTCAATTTTTGGCTTTGCTACCAACATGCTGATAGGTAGTTGTCAAAACTAACTGAGATTAACCATAATCTATATAGAATTTTATTTTTATTGTTAATGTACAAACTTGATGCGCAATACTGTAGTGAAATGCTGAGAGTTCCATTCTGTATCTTAAGTACAGTTTTGAGAATAAAGCAAATTATTATTATAATCATTATTATTTTGAGGTAAAAAGACGTTTTAATTCTTTCCCAATTTGGGTAATTCACAAATTATTTATTTATAAATTTTACTTATTATTCATTAACGTATTTACCGTAAAACCAGACAGCCGTGCCTAGGCCATACAGTCGTAACGTCTGTTTGTACAGACAAAACAAGCACTGTGGCGTGTACACGACGGAATGAATTCTCACGCTAAATTACTAACAACACAGGCTTGTATGTATTCTGTATTATTGTGTGGTGGACGAATGGTGTAGTATGTATGTATGTATAACTCATTTATTGATAAACTAATCTAGTCTGTTTATACGTGTGTGAATATTTGGGGAATTGTTCATCATGAGGAGTGTTTTTTAAAATACAACTCACTTGACAAACGCGTGAAACACACTCGTCTACATACTTACAAACATACATACATATATTTAATATATAACTTTTTGAGTTGTATTCAACGGAGAGCAGTTCAGTTTGAAGAATTCAAAACAGCAATCATGCTTAATAAGGATTAAGGTTTGTAATATGTTTATTTATAATAATTAATAAAATAAATATTGTCTGTGAAACGAAAATACAAAAATGAAAAATGTAAATGTATTGAGCTCAAGCTACGCACCTAAAGCATTTTTATATGAGTTGTGTTCAATTGATATTTTAATATATAATTTCCAGTGTAGTTTTAAAACAATCAATCTTGTGAATAATTAAATCCCTACTCATCGAAGAAGACATTGCGAAATGGTCGCGTTATGTTGTGAATTGCCAGAAGTTAGAATTCATGGACTGGCCATTGGATCGGGTACCAGTGGCTGAATGGTGTACGAGCTAGCTCGCCTTGTAAACAGAAGGTCCTGGGTTCGAACCGTGGTGGTGAATGCGTACTGATGAAGAGCCCCAAACTAGGACGAAACAGCTGTCCAGTACTCCCTGCAAGTTTTCCAGTGGTTCTCTAACTGATGTCAGCTCATGATGAAATCCTCAATGCAATACTTGATAATTAGAACAAAAAGGCCAGAGTGAACAATTGTAGTTTCAATAAATTTCGCTTTTTCAGGCTCTACAGTTATAAATCCATTAATAAATTTCAGCATACAATAGTTAGCCAAGAAAAGCAAATTAGAATCATATCAGAAATGTGTATTGTGGAACAAGTATAAGATGGGATGGGACAGTATTCAGTTAGTTTTCTTAATATGCATGGTCAGTGTCAAAATGAGATGAATCCTGTTCCATCTGATCTTATACTTGTTCCACAATACACATTTCTGATATGATTCTAATTTGCTTTTATTGGCTAAATATTGTATGCTTAAATTTATTAATGGATTTTCAATTTCATATAATTATTCCCTTTTATAAATTTGAACAAAGAAAGAAGAAATATTGGCGCGCAGAATAATCTGGATCCATTTTATTTCGTTGGTTCTCATCAGCTGCATACAACCTGACTTGTTTTTTTTTAATAACAATAAAAAGTAATAGAAAAGATTTGTAACTCAGGTGGATGATTTGCAAATTTAGAAACACAAGTATATAGAAAATCAACTCACACAGATCAAATACTCAACTATACTAGCAATAATCCAATAAAGAAATTGTGTGCAGACATTGTTTAGAAGAGTTCAAACACATTGTAGCACTACTCCAGCATTGAAAAGAATGGAAGAAAAATACCCACAAACGGTCTTCGAAAACATTGGTTATCCACAAAATTTCATTAAAAAGTGTTTAAAGTCAAATCAAGACACCAACAAAGAACCATCACCAAAGACCAAAAAGAAATTCATCCTACCATTCATCAGAAATATCTCTGAAATAACGGCTAGACTAATGAAATCGTTTGATATAGATGTAGCACACAAACCAGTCGAATCGCTTAGTTCGATCTTATGTAAACCGAAAGATATAACAGAAAAAGGGGATAAAATTAACACCATTTACAAAATAAGTTGTATGAACTGTAACAAACATTACATCGGTGGTCGAAGTGGGCGCCTCCTTCGAATCAGAATCCAAGAACACAAGTCAGCCGTGAAAAGACACAATATATATTCCTGTTTCATATCAATGCACATAGACAATTATGGACATCAATTTGATGATTGGGATAATGTCGAAATCATAGACAGAGGACAGATAGCAAAAGTGCAGTCAGGGAATTCCTAGAAGCCCGGTACTCAAACGAATATACTATTAACAAACACGTTAATATAGACCAAATATACCAACTAATAAAAAGTAAATCAGATGACCAGAAAGTTTAAAATCC